TTCAAAAAATGAATCTGGTGATGATATTTCCAGACAGTGCAGATCTCCTCGGAACAGAAAAGCCTCCTCCTTAGAAATAAAGCCTTCTATGGGTTCTTTTATGTGCTTGCAGATACTCCAACAGGCTTTAGGGCAGAGAAGCTGGCTGCTAGCAAGGTAGTTACATCAATCTTTCTTTTTCCGCATAGTTTATACTATAAGAATACATTTCTTGTCTACAAACGCAGCAGACAATTCAAATTGCTCTTTCTCAAGAAGGTGTTTTACATCACAGAAATTTCATCATCTTTGCCCACATTTATACATCCTCCTGATTCAAGGACACCAGGGAGTCTGCTTTGATGTCCTGTATGTGACTGGCTACTGAAGCTCCCCAGTGATCCCAATAACTCAAGTTTCACCAAAACACAAATTTTACTTATAGACAGAACACCAGGAGGCAACCTTCAACAAGAAGGCACAAGGAAGCAAGTATTCTACCCTTTTTATGGTAGGCCATTCTAAAAGTTGTGCTTCACTTATGTTCTAGATTTGTCTCAATTCAGCTTTCTCCTTACGTAAATTTTTCTTCCTTAGTCCAGTGCCCTCTTTATTGAAAAACAACCCAGCTCTCTTAAGTGTCTCAGATTAGTTTTAAGATCCCTTTAGGAGTAGGCATAGTAGTTTAAAATTTCTCCTTCTGTGAGTTACTCAGAACTGTGAATTATTCTGGCTAGAGAGACAGAAATTAGTAGCACTGTGGCTATGCCAAGTTAATGTACAACATGAGTCCTCCCTGTATGCCTCATTGCTCAGACTGCTGGTTTAGTTTGTATTCCCATAGGAAATTGTCACTCCAGGTGCTGGAAGCAGTAAATTCCTAAACCTTTTAGTTGCATTTGAAAAAGACTCTGCCCTTGCCATACTGTAACTTGTTCCAGCCCTTGAAGCATTTCTACCATTGTTTTCTCCCACCTTTAATATTAATTTTATAATAGACAGTCTTGCTCCTTTACAGACCTTAAGAGTGCCGTATCAAGGGTAAAAACCCTTTCTAAGCCTCTACTCCACTCTGATATATACATCAGTTAATACATATCCATTTTTATCTATTCTTTTTATCACAGCAATGTAAGCTCTGCCTGTTTCTTTTCTCCCCCAAAGTCAACACTCTTTCTGATACTTTGCTATAAAGGTAGTGTCCCTACTCTTTCCTTTTAGACGGATAATTTATCATATCATAGAATTGTTTGGGTTGGAAGGGATCATAAAGATCACCTAGTTTCAACCCCCTGCCGCAAGCAGAGACACTTTCCACCAGACCACATTTCTCAAAGCCCCGTGCAACCTGGCCTTGAACACTTCCAGGGATGGGACATCTATAATGTGGCTGTAGTAACATATTCTTTATCTGAAAAGGTTCAGCTTAAGGGACCAAGAAATGTCTGTGTAGCTCTGCCAATACTCTAGGAAATGTGCTCCCTGCCATTGCTGCTCCTCCTGTTATCAGATACTACATTACATATGTGCCAGTGGAACGGAAACACAACACTCCCAACAAAATCTGAAAATATATTCAATTACAAAAATAACTAAAGGTCATACTTCTACATATCTTATTCTCACAAAGCAGCTTAAATTTGTGATCCTTACCGAATTTAATCACAATTACTTGCATTAAGGATTCAGCTGCATATTCTAACAGCATTAACTTCAGGCTTTTCTGCTTCAAATTCCCTGATGTCGTGGTTTAAGCCCAGCCGGCAACTCGGAGCCACACAGCTGCTCGCTCACTCCCCTGCCTTCTTGCTCTTCCACATTACTACAACCTCTGAATCCTGTCTATAGTTTTCAGTGTGTCAGAAGGTATGAGAGATGGGCCCATTCTGACAGACTGAAAGAAGCAGCTCCAAATTATTTTCAACCTTGATGCTCCCCCTAATTTTGCACCCTATTCAATCTCCATAATATATCAAACTAAATCTCTACAGCAAAAAATATTGTCAGTAACACAGTATTTCAGATATTCAAACTTCCATCACTTGGGCTTGTTTCTTTAAATTATCCCATCCTACATGAGGCTGTTTTCTATCAGCACATACTTCTTTCTGTTAATGTGATGTAAAGAAATGTTAACTTTTCATGGTAAGTCTTCTGACAGCAGTAGATAGTATTTCTTTCAGGGTTTTTCCAATGGACTAAATATGGAGATTAAGAAGAGATGAAAAAAGGCAAAGTAAAAACACAAAAGGAGAAAATAGGGGAAAGATGGAAAAACAATCAGTAAAAGTCAAAAAGCATACACATCCAAGGGAAGCTGAAACAGAGACAAGTTTAGAAACTTGATTATGAAGATGAAATCTCATGCAGGATCTATAAAAATCAGACCCAAATAGAGAGTGACATATTTGCATAATATAAAGTAATAATGAGAAATTAAAGGACATAAAAATGGGGAAAAATACAAGTTAAACACACAAAATTAGAAAGAAAACCAGTAACAATATATCTATATAGTGACAGCTCTGTTATGAGCTACCACTCTGTTTTAATGTGATGTGAAACCAAACATATGGAAGGCAGAGGTAAAGAAAATATAGGGAGACGGTTGTATTTGCTAGAACAGAAATATGAGACTTGATAAGTACAGGAACATAAACATTAGGGGGAAAAGGATGCAAAAGGTGGATTCAGTAAAGAGAGACTGTGTCCATTTAAACCAGTAGGACTTGCTGTTTATGGCAATCTTTCTCTTCCACTTTCAATATTCCTTATGGAAGAATAATCCATTTCTCATATCTTACTGCATATTTTCTCATGAGAAAAGTAAAGCTTATAATTATTTCACAATTAAAGAGACACAATTTATATCCTAAACCAAAACCCACTCCCTCCCAAAAAAAAACAAAACAAAAAACCCACCAATCAATCATACAAACAAACAAACCAAGAAAATAAAACCGTTTACAACCTCAAACAGAAGAAATACCGAATAAAGCTTCCATACCTCAGTCTATGCTCCGGAAGGTACAAGTAACAGAGTAGCAGAACATAAAACATAGGTCTGGGGAGTTGTATTTTTAGCTCATTCCCTGAGTGTGCATTCAAAATCAATCTCTCGAGCATATCACACTTTGGTTCATATTATGTAACAGACTGTGGATTCTTTCAGAATAGCAAATGAGCACCAAAAAATGTGGCTATCACACCTAATTCACCAGTTTGCACTTCCTTCCTGGGATGAGACTACGGCCAACCCAAACTAAAAGTTCCTGACCCTTGTCCTCAGCACCAACTGCTTTTCCCTACTACTCAGGTGGCATTACTTCCTAATTTAGACATAGCAAGTGCTTAGAGAACACAAATTGGTAAGAAGTCCACCTCACAGACACTGCAGACAGTGCTATTACAGCAACCTTTGCATCTTTATGAAATTCCTAGTATATGAGCCCTGATTGCTATTTCATTGTTCTTGTCAGTGGTGAAATGCAGTGTGAGAACTATTGCTGGAAATTATGCACAACAGCCAAGTTCTAACAGTGATAACTGACCTTTCATGGGTGTAATTAAATTGCATCTAAATAATTTAAATAAACAGCTAAAGCTACTCAGTTGAAAATGACACTTTTATTAAGAAAAATACTGTTATTATAGAACAAAATTTTCAGAGGTTATTTTCTGAACCTGTGTCATCTTCTCAGCTGTGCTTTCTATGGCCAACAGAGCAGATCCTGATTCTTTTAATTCTAAGATCTGGAGTCACTGTTCTTTTATAATTGCTTTCATGAATTGGGAATGAATTAATTAAATATTTATTGGACTAGTATATTTTCTGAAAGGCAAAACAGCACTTTTGTTTATAAATATTTGCAATAGAAGGCAGTTACTTGACACTGCAGTTGAAATGTGGTTTACACATTGAGTCTACAATGTCTAACATACAAGTAGACTAGTGATCTCCATCTCTGCACTTGCTGGATTTGGAGGAGAAATTACAGACACATACACATAGCCATGGACATCCCTTCCCACACAACTGCAATCAAAGGAGAAGGAAGAAAAATATGTTTCTCGTTCTGAACTTACTATCTGGACACATTCATAGACCAGTAAATCCTAGTGATTTTACAGGACTGACTGACCATTAAAGGCAGGGGGAAAACATGCCTATCTGTGTATCACAAGCCAGTCTGCTTACACAGTTTACACAGCAGAAAACATCACAGAAGTTCATGTTCCTTTCCAACTCTTAGTCCCTTTTGTCCCTCTGAGGTGTTAAGGATAGCAGAAAGAACCAGGGTGTCAAAGGCAAATTCTCCACAGAGCAAGGCTGTATGTATGCATGCATGTATGTATGTCATGATTGAATCAAATTACCTTACAATTTCTTAAACAAATTCATAAACAATAGTGTTAGTCTTCCTGCAGCATAAGCTTCTGGTTACTATCTCACAGTCTCAGGGCTGGCAGAAGCATACCTGCAGCAAGGCCCAAAGAGCTGGGCTTTAGCCACAGCCTGATGGAACTGGAAAGACTTGCAGAAGCCTGAGGCTGACTGAGCACATGCTGTGCTCTGCCTCCTCTCACAGCATGCCCAAACTACAGCCAGCAGACTAAGCAATATAAACAATTATATGTACATTTTTAGCATACACAGATCAAACTATTTCTGATCTCAGCTGCCTCACCCCCTCCTCCTCCCCACACTCCCCTCATTGTTTTTCACCCTCCCACCCCCCATATCATGTTATTTACTTCTTTTAGAGATTTCTTTATTTACCAAAAGGCTTACAGTACACCCAGAGAAAATACGGCATACTACTGGGACACTCTAAGATAGGCAGCAAAATAAATAACTGTGACACATAAAAGGCAGCACAGACCAAAGTGGCTAGTATTAAGGAAGAATCTGAATGCCAGTAAATTCTGACTTACTGGGATAGAATGGGAATGTCTTTGTTTTGGTATCTTGAAAGTACAAATAAATAATTCAGCTAAAGTGCAACAAGCATTAGACTAACCTTATAAAGCAAAGGTGATTGTCCTAGCTTCAAAAGTGCAATTTTTTTGGTCACGTTTGTAATGGCTTGAATCCGGATCAAGTCTGCCACAGTCCCATACTGTACATCAACAAGCTCTGCCTGTAAAGAGAAGACAAAAGTAAGGCTAAACCTATAACTGTGCATGACTGAGGGTGCTCCTTCCACAGGAACAAAGCTGTCTGCGTAAGTACAAGCACATGAGAAGAGTTCTATGATTACCTTACTCCCATTTCCCGATCAGAAAAAACTGTCATTACAAAGAGTTTGAGAATCTGATCTCACAGATGAATTTGTATCTTTGCAGTTTTCATTCAAAATTCATCAGCTGTGCCAAAAAAAAACAACAACTTTTTTTTTTTTCTTTTTTTTTGCCAGTAGTTACAGTAAGTGGTGCTGATTTGGATGAGAATTCCCCCTCATTAGCTACAGGAACTATTTTAAATCATGTAAGGGATACTAATTCGCATCTGTTAATATCCTTAATCAGATTGTTATAAAGTGTTTCAGAAAATGAATGATTATACTGTTCACTTATCAAAATATATCGATAATATAAACTCTACCAATATACAGTTTTATTATGTCCTCTCATGTGATTCCTGAACAGTCTTAACTATTGATGTATCTTCACAGAATCCATCAGTTATCCAAGCATTATACTCAGATAATTATAGTGGTAAACAGACTACACCCCTCTGACATGTAAGCTTTCCTATTAATATATATTTTGAAATTATTTACAGTCATTTCTAACTAAGTGAAAAGCTTTTAGAGCATGAAGATCTTCAGCTCTACAGTGAAGACACTGAAAGGATACGTAGTTAAGGTTTAAGTTAGTAGTAAATGTCACGCATCAGTAGTGATGGAAAAACACATCAAGATTTGTTTTCAAGGATTATCTAAAAATAAATAAATAAATTTAATTTAAGAATGACCAAGGGCATATTTCTCACATTTTTATAGCAATAAATTCTGGTGAAGACCAAGTATAAGGATAATCAAGCTTGTACATTATTATTTTAGAATGTCATAACAACTCTCGGGACACAACCGAGGACACTCTGGAACATCTAAATCCCTCCACTGTGTTCACATAAAACACAGATATAAGAAGACACAATAACATTGCATGAGTGTTCAAAAATTAAAACAAGAGGAGCAGTACAAAATGGAAAAGTTTCTCTTTCAGTTCAGCTTTGGTAACGAGTATGGATTCATTGCCAAAGGCAACAGTTCTGATTTTGGGCATCTCTACACAAATTGTTTAAATTCTAGCAACAGTTGATTTGTATATGTAAAATGTGTGAAACTTTCCTAGATTCCTGAACAGGGGTGTTGTAGAAAAGTATTTACCCTTATACAACTGTAACTGAATATTTTCTCTGAGTTTGCACCTCAACGTTTAAGTTGAAATCCTACAAATTTTTTTTGCCAAGGTTGCCGTCTTCTTAAATGTATTCTTTTAGATTTTCAACTTAACAAGTTTCTAAGACTACAACATGTCATAAGTACTGTATAAGCAAAATATTTAGAAAGGTCATCCAAAGTTATAAAACACTTCTTGAACAGGCAAGCATCAGATTTAACACCAAATACTGAAGTGCAAGAACAGAAAGTCTTGCACTTCATACAGTTTCTTCTGAAATATATGAAGCATTTAAAGAACTTGAAAACCAGTTCTTAAGAAAACTGAAATTATGACTAGAGGATGAAATAATTTTCCCCATGTGATCATATTATTTGAAAAGTATGAAAAAATCAAGTGAGGAAGTTTTTATACTAGAGGAAAGTATTTTGTATTTTATCTCATCTCATTCATCTGGTTACAAAGAACTCACCTCAAATGAGGAAAAGTGTATTAACCCGTATACTTCTTTGAAATTCATACAAATTTTACCTCATGCTCTAGGTCTCAGCTTTATTTTAATTTCTACCTACAGACATGTCAGTAGATACACCTGAGTGCAATAATTATTAGCATCTCAAAAGTCTTATGGCTTGAGAGGTTATATGTAGGGTGATTTCTTGGGAGACTTCTAATCTAATTCCTTTGGACCCAATGCCTCTCTCAATCTACCCTCAAGCAAAGCAAAAATCAGAGCTTTCATCATTCATATGAGAGAAACTACACTGAATTTTCCTGAGGCAAAATCAATACACAAAGATGTAACATAATGAAGTATCAAACTATTCACTTCTACAGCATGCCTGTGTGAAAATGAGATCCCTGCCCATCTACATTCATGTGCTGCTTCACATCATTTTTGCTAGCTGCTCCTCCAGGGTGCTATCCACTGCTCTGTAAACAATAGAACTACATGTTTGCACAATTATTAATGCATTTATCAACCGCCCTTGGATGTTCTTAGCTCATTTATGGACACAAACTTCATCTTTAAGAGCTATTCACTGGTCTTTCACAGGCAACATAGAAGCTCGGTAAGAGCAGGCTGAATAAAAGGCCCTAAAAAAGCACAACTTTTGTAATTATGGGAGAACCAGAACTTGACTCCCTGCTGCCCCAAACACTCTGCCAACCATGTTCTTTGCTCCAAATGTTAAAAGTAAGCACCTTCATACATTCATACTTTCAGAGTACATGTAAGAAGTCATTACATAATATAAAAAGCAGCTGGATATAATATAACAAAGAGTTATCCGTGCTTTCATTACACATCTTCCACATGAAGAGTATGTCAAAGCTCAATATATTAGAAGTCTTTCATTTGCACTTGCCTGAAAATGAGTATGACCTATGCATCTGTCCAACTCTGAGGGCACTCGCACACTTGTATTTCACTGTAACTTTGAAGCAGTTCTCTTCTCAGCACAGGTCTTTGACCCTTAATTTTACCTTTTGTGGAATCATGGCTAAAAATATTGCACATATCTAGCAAAGTAAGTTATCACACCCCGGTAACATCACATATAGCCTAGCAGCTGGAGGTTTGCACAGCTAATCTCAGATCTAACTTAAAATGACAAAAAAAAGAGTAATATCTTCTCTTGACTAAAACTACACATGGCTTGTCCTCTGCCAAACAAAGTCAATAACCCACGGGAAGAGTTTAGAAGAAAGTCACAATATTCTGGCACTACAGTCCACACCCTAATAGGTAAAAAATAATTTTAAAGATTATTTCTATCCCTTCATGTCTACTCAACTTGAATACATGAGTAAAATTTTCCACACAAAGCAAAATACTTTGCAGTACTTAAAACATCTCATCAAATACAGCACAGCAACACTACCTCAGAGATCAGAGATCAAATCAGGGATTTTTTTATTTAATATACTTGGATTCAACTAATAAGACCTTTTACTTATAAAATAAAGTATTGGGAGGAAAAGAAAAAAAAAAAAAAAAAAAGCTTTAGAATAATGTTAAAGAATCCAGAGAGTGCTACCCTCCCAAAAACCAACTGACAAACTAACAGTCAATTTATGTTGCACAATTCCATTTAAATTTCATGTTCCTAACACCTCCAAAAATGGAAATTATCTACTCTTTCTTTTTCAGAAATGTTTACAACATGATTTTACACATTCCAGTATTTAAAAAAAGCAAAATACTGCACCCCCAACCACCTATATTTGAGAAACTGCTTTCTTTTAGTAAGATAATTCTGTCAAAAAACAGAAGAGAACTCACGCTTTTTTCAGATGCTTGAATAAGAGCACTTGTATGCTCTGGTTTAGATATGCAAGGGTAAATCCTCTTACCCTAGAATGGGGAAACGGCTAAAAAATGAGTTGTTTTATCCGTTTGAATTAGGTACTTACTCTTCAAATTGTTTCATTCTATGCTGTTTGAAAGATATGACTATTTAGGAACGAACTGTGAGCTGCAATATGGAGTTCAGTAATATTCCCCCATGCATGAAATGAAGTAGGGGTAGGTAATAAGTGAAACCTTTTTAGAAAAAGTAATTATTTTATTAGACTTATCATTAGTTTCTAAGTCCCAAGATAATTCTGAATGAGTTGTAAACATTCTGTCTTAAAAACGATAAAATCCCCCCAAAACACAAAAGATACACAATCAAGACAGTCAAGGATCTTTTCCCAATTTCTTCTACTTATCTCCAAAACAGAATAAAACAGTGTACTTCATCCAGATATGGGATAAAAAAAAGAGTAAGACACATCTTGGAACTGGAAAGTGTGAAAAGCTGTAAGAAGGAGGTGGCAGCTGAGGTCTTGAAGATGTTGGATACTATTTTAAAACTTTGCTTTTGTTGCAAATGCTGAGGCAATAAAACAGACAAAAAGAGTAAGTTAAACAGATCAAAAATTATAAGAAAAAATATGTTTGTCATATCACATTGTTATCATTCAGTCCACTTGAATGAGGAAAGGAATTTATGAACTGCATTATACATCTGTATCCAATACACTGGGAAATCCTACAGAGAAATTAAAAATAATAATAATTATTATTAATAATAATCATCATCATCATCCCACACGAACAAACAAAAAAAAAATAAAAAACAACCCCCCCCCCCCAAAAAAATAACAGCAACAACAAAAAAAACCCCACAAAAATTCAAAGCCAGTACACCTGGACAGAGATGTTTCTTACAACCTCAAAAGCAGATAGAGTCAGTGCAAGTAAAAAGGTAGGTTTTAAATACATCTGCTCTAGCTATCAAGGCTGAGGATCACAGGATAGAAAAGCAATTACTTTTATTACTATTTCTTACTAAGGTCAGTACTGAGCAACCTCAAAGGAGTTTTATCTGAAAGGTGTAAACTTACACAGAAAACAAAATCAAAAGTAGCATACAGGACTGCTATGGTAAAAAATCTTAATGTTACATGCTGTTAGTGCCACCTCAAATCATGAATATACTATATCAATCTGTTGAATCATATTAATGAACGGCTTCTACACAAACTATTTGGGAGGTCTGTAAAAGCTGTGGCTATGAAAATAAGTGATATTTAGTGGCACAGACAAGCTCATATTCCTGCCAGTCCTGACCTACCCATCAAAGGAGTGTCAGAAATGGATGACCTAAAGATGTTCCAAGTATTGAAGAAAACTAAATATTAAATGTCACATATACAATATATCTAGGACTGCTTATTTCTC